CGAAACCCTCACTGTCCGCATCAAGTTGTTTTGTTCAAGAATGCCCTGCTGATATTGAAGGAAGTTTATAGAACATCTTAGTCAAGTTTGTCAGCCTCAAAATGTCTGGTACGTCTACTATGTGACCTAATCTGTGTTTGTTTGAAAAAAAAAAAAACTGCGTATCCTCTCCTTTCTTGGAATTTCTTAAATATGTGGTTCCTTTTTGACTAGATCAAGTTTGTGAAGTGTGAAGTTCCTGATGTCCTCAGCCTGTAAGCCATTAGTTGATTGAGGTGGTATGGTAAATAAGGTAAATAAGCGTGGACCCGGGAGAAGAATCCTTCCTCTAAATCTGTTGCTATCCTTTAAGTAGTGTGCTGACCATCTGCTCTGCTGTGAGGTCCCCAAATCCTCTGAGAGCTCAGCAAAGTGCACCTCTAATTCTCTCCTTATGGCTCTTTATGCAATCTGTTTTTTTGGCATTACACCGTGCACTGAGGTGGACATGAGTGTTTGTGTATGCATGTTCATTTTATGCGGTGTTGAGAGCCAGAAATCATAAAGTAGGATGTAGTCTTTGATGTAGTATATTCAGAGTGTTCATTTTTGTAAAATGTTTGACATATTCATTAATTATTGTTATTATATAATATAATAATAACAATAAGATAAAATTCACTATATAACATGAGTATGCACACTATGCACAATATACAGTATATATTTTCTTTATCCCACAGTGCACTTCATCTTTCATTTGTGTAATGCAGCGATATTGAAATTGTCTAATACCGTTAAGTTGATAATTATTGTCATGTTATTGTCCGATAACTGATCAATAGTCAGTATTAAAATTATGTACTAAAATCTGTAAACAAATACAAATAAAGTGACTATTTAAATAAAGTGAATTTAGGTATCACAACATTATAATATGTAGCATGAAGGATAGACATTACTTTTGAGATGTTATTAAAATATTAGATTTAAATATATGTTAAATCTGTGTCAAATCAACCAAATTTCAGAAACTTAAAAGTGAAATTAAATGAATAAATAAAAACATTTTAGAAAGATGGCAGCATCATCATTTTATGTTTTGCAAGATTGTTAGGTCTATTAGTAAAATCAGTTGACTTTAGTAATCCTTGTTGTATCATATGCCAATAGTGATCATTCAAAACGTGAAAAAGCACTTTTTTTTCTAAAGTTTGTATGCCTGTAACTCAGTTTCAGAGATGAGGGTCTCAATGTGGCCCATCATGAGTAAATTAAGATGTAAAATTAAACACATTTTCAAGTGGTCAAAAACCAAATGTGGGTTATAGCTGATTATTTTAAAGAGGAATGTCTGAAGAACAAAAAAATGAGGAAACTAGAAATGAATCTTGCTCCCCTCTATCAAAACAATTGCATATGAGCATGTCTGAGTGTAAAAAAAATTTTCCCCCCAAAGTTTGTGTGCCTGTAACTCAATAAATATTAAATATATCTCAATATGATTTTCAATTTAATATGAAGAAACCGTTATTTTGGTATCTTCATTTTTACCCATTTGAAATTGCCAAAAATGAAATGTCAATCGTTTTAACAGCTTAAAAATGAGATTAGAAATGTCAAGTGATAGGATTTATTTGCTGGATGAAGATTGCGCGCGCACTTGCTAAATTATACGTGTAATGTATTGATGTTATGTGACAACAGTGTAGAATATTATTGTTTGCATTTTGCAAGCTTTTCATGCGAGGTTAAAATGATATGCTGTAAAATGCGCAGTACACCAAAAGCTGTATGCTAGTATTCCTAAACATAGCCAGTGTATTGGAAACTAGCTACAGGATGATAGGATCTCTTAGTTTTGCCATAACGCTCTATGCTCTCCATTTCCTTAACAGCTATTTTTCCTCAAATGGTATCCGAACATTCTACTTGAACAAGTCTTGGACTGCAGTTAAGCCCTAAAACAATCCTGATGTTTAAAAGATGTCTAAATACAAGCCCATTGCTCATCCAACACAATTCAGTGTGCTGCAAATGGCCCTGTGTAGATTGTCTGTTATAGCAATAATGTTACTATAGAGGACTGAACAGAGACTTCAGTGAGACCTGTCTCTGCACCTGAGAGCGCTGGCTGGACTCCAGATATCAGTCTCAGTCGCACAAGAGGGGGGGGGGGGGGGGGTCTGTG